AAAAAAAAAAACATTGAATGGAGATTATATTATGATGCTCTTTACAATTTATATTACAACTGTTGTAACTTTTTTCAAGAATATTTTCCTTTTTATCAAATTTTAATGTTTTGAAAGCCATTTCACTTCCTCTAAAAAGATTCTAGCCCTTTGAAGAAAACGACACTTACTGAAGAAAGTTCTTCATTAGCAAAGCACCCAAGTGGAAATTTTTGTTAATAAAGAATTTAAGTGGATAGTAAAATTGTTAGGAAGAATACCTTTTAAAATAAAGGTGTAGCCAGAGAGGTGCTTTTTTTATATGATTGCTTTTGTACTTTCCTTTGGTTGTGTTTTCTGTTCTTTTCTCAGCAGTTTCCTTTATTGTTTTTACTATCTACATTTTAAATTCCCTTTCTGTCATTTTCATTTCTCCGTAGGTGGATTAAGGGGGTTGCTCTGTTCTGGGTCTTCATGTTGCCAGGACTGTTCTGTTGGTTCTTCCTTATGAGTGTTTTCTTTTGTCTGCTGTCTTACCCTATTTTCTTCTTTCACTTTCTCCTCTTTAAATTACCTTGCCTCTCTGTTTAGGTGTTGCAATGTCCTTTTGGTATAGGGCCAAACAGAAGAGAAGAGTGAAGAGTGAGAAGGGAGAAAAGAAAGAAAAAGAGAGTAGAAATTGAAAAGGGGGTAGGGTAAAAGGAGAAGAACAGAGAGAGACGGGAGTAATATAGGTGCTCAGCAGGGTGCTTTGACCCACACCTGCCATTCCCGGCCTCTGAGGGGCTGGGATGGGTGGGTCCCTCAAGGTAGGGAACTCCTTACCAGCCTGAGCAAAAGCAAGACCCCACCTCCACCAAACAGAAAAAAACCCCAGCAGTATGTTATAGTGGGGACCTACTAGTAGTGTTCTTCCAAAAGCCAAAGCTAGAAAAATACCCTAAACCCCCAGGGAGATCAAGGTCTCCCTGATGCGAGCCAATGCTGTAATCTCCCAGCCTCCCAGAGTCTGTCCTATAAATGGAATACAGATTGACAAAGAATAAAATTGATTTTAAAAAAGGAAAATAATAGTGCAGTGCCTGTGGCTCAGTGGGTGGGGCGCCGGCCCCATATACTGAGGGTGGTGGGTTTGAACCCGACCCCTCGACCAAAGTGCAATAAAAAAGGGAAAAAAAAATAGCTGGGTGTTGTGACGGGTGCCTGTAGTCCCAGCTACTTCGGAGACTGAGACAAGAGAATTGCCTAAGCCCAGGAGATGGAGGTTGCTGTGAGCTGTGACGCCACGGCTATCTACTGAGGGCGATAAAGTGAGACTCTGTCTCTAGAGAAAAAAAAAAAGAAAAATAATAATAAAAGCATATAAAGAAAGTTGAAAATAAAATTGTGTAAGATGCAAAAAAAAAGTCATGTATTTTTTGTTGTTAGTTGAGAAATGTATATGGGAAAGATAAGAAACGTAGAAAAATCTTTACAGAAAGAGAGAAAAGGAGAAAAATGGAAAGGAAAGAAGGAATAAGGGGTAGAAAACCCATAGTAGAAATTAAGTTCTTATTTTGAAGAAAGTAAAAAAGAAAAAATAAAAATACTACAAAACTAGATGAATAAGGAAAAAAAAAACCTGCCCCCCAAAATTGGAAAAAGGAATATTAGGAGTAAAACAACTAGGAAAAATATAGCTGTTACTATTGAAGAAAGAAACAATGAAAAATTAAAAATATAAAAATCTAGCAGGAAAAATTAAGAAAAAAAGCAAAAAAAATGTGTGTGTGTGTGTGTGTGTGTATGTGTATATATGTATATGTATATATTGCACTATATTGCCTGGACAACAGGTGATGTTCTAAGAGTAAGGACAGCTAGTTACAATGTTATGGTTGTATAAGTTGGGGGCTGGTAACCTCTATCTAATTTCTGAGGCAACCTGGTCCCATTTTCCTGATTTATTTGTCCTCAGTCCCCTCAGGGTTGGGAGTCTCAAACTCTTGTCAGCCTACTTAAGAGACACTCCTCAACCTTTCCAATCAGTGCTCCTGGGCCACAAAGTGGCTTTCCTAGAAAAGCGGGTTTCACTCAGTGTCCCCAGAGGTGGCTGCCCCCCTCAGCAGGTACTCTAGAACCAGCTTGGCACTGGGACTCTGCAGGCTGTTTCTTCCAGGCAGCCCTGCCACAATGGTGGAAATCTGCAAGAGCTGAACATAGAGGAGACCTCAGCTCTGTCTCAGTGGCTCAATCCCAGCCACTGGGTGCTGTTTGAGATCACTCACTCACCCAAGCTCTCCCATGGTAGCTCCAGCAAGTACACAGGTCCAAAAATAAAAAAACTGGTGGACTAGCCTTTTCTGTCTGAAACCCTATACTTGCTGGCCTCTGCCAGTATGGAAGCAGTCGAAGGAAGTGTATCTAAATCACCATTCTGCTCTGCGTCCGGACAGCTCCTGTTGCTTTTTACCCTTTATATTCAAAGAATAGTTTTGCTGAATATGGAATTCTTGGAATCTCTTTCAGCCCATGAATATGTCATCCAGTGCTTCTTAGACTCCCATGTTTGCTGATGATTATGAAAATGTCTTCTTCATAATATGTTACTACTTTCTTTGAGAATTATCTCTTTGCCTTTATCTTTTGACAGTTTGATTTTGATGAGTCTTGGAATATGTCTCTGAGTTTATCCTACTTGGAGGGCAGGTAACTTCTTGGAAGTTTAGATTAACATTTTTCCTAAAATTTGGCAAGTCCTGTACCATCATTTCTCCAAATATATTTTCTGCCCCTCTCTGCTCTCTGTCTGGAATCCCCATTGCTCGTATATCCTGATGGTGTCGCGCAGGTCTCCAGCTCTGTCCATTTTCTTTCATTCTTTTTTCTCTCTGTGCCTGTATATTTGACTTATCTTCAAGTTCACTGATTTCTGCCTGCTCAAATCTGCTGTGAAAGCCCTGGGGTGAATTTTTCCTTTCTATTACTGTGCTTTTCAGCTCTAAAATTTCTATCATTTAAATGTTATACTGTTTCTGTGAGGCAATAATAAGGGAGTAGTTTCAGAGACTCTCCTGGAGTGTTGATTGAAAAATTGAATCCTGGACCTTTAACCTACAACCTGTACACGTACATATTGAACCAAGATTTCTGAGATTTGGGTGTGAGAATGTGTAATTTCTTTTTCTTTCTTTTTTTTTTTTTTGAGACAGAGTCTCAGTTTATTGCCCTCGGTAGAGTGCTGTAGCGTCATAGCTCACAGCAACCTCCAGCTCTTGGGGTTAGGCAATTCTCTTGCCTCAGCCTCCAGAGTAGCTGGGACTATAGGTGCCTGCCACAACACCCAGCTGTTTTTTTTGTAGTTTGGCCAGGGCTGGGCTTGAACCTGCCACCCTCGGTATATGGGGTCGGCACCCTACACACTGAGCCACAGGCACTGCCCGAGAATGTGTAATGCTTCTTAACTATATTATAGTTGGGATAATACTAGTCTATGGATTGCATTTTTCTTATGACTTATGCTTAAAAATGAAACAGTAGGCCATTTTAAATACATTATCGAAGTATAATTTTATAATTCAAATGAACAGAGTTTTCTCACTAGTTTTTAGATTTTAAGAGTACAAAGTGACGTTAATTCTAATATAATCCTTCAAAGAACTTTTCTGTTACTTTCTGTGGTGATTAGCTCAAAATAAGCTATTGATAAACTATAGATTTTTAATGTGTGAGCCAGTGCCTGATATTGATACAGGGCGGGTGGTGCCCTGGCCTGTTGGACTGAACTGAGGGGAGAACCTACCATGCCTTCTGTATCTCTGCCCCCGGGGGATGTTGGTCAGGGTGAGCAGAGGAGCCAGTGGTTTGGAAGGTAGGCAGAGGAGGCTGTAGGAGGCTCTAGTAGCTGGAGGTGCAGGACAACTTCTGGGGAGTCACCTCTTATGTTGCCAGCTCAGGGTGCACCCTAGTGCCTCTGCCCCAGGCCTCTGTTTCCTTCCCCTTGCACTTGGGGCTGAGTAGGGAAACCTCCCTTCATGTACATTTCCTGGGCCTGGGAATGCACTGACATTTTGCTCTAGAGGAAGGGATTGTATCCATTCATTTGTTAGGCTATATATATACCCCCTAGACAAAGGACCCAGGGGGAGATTTTTTCTGACCTGAATTTTTCCCTCTACTGGAAGCTCTGGTGCTTTTTCTGTATTCTTTTCTGTAAAATAAATCCTGTCTTAGCACTGATCTGTGGCTCCTGGATTCATTATTCGAATCCTGGAGACGAGGGACCTACTGAAGTAGAAATTCCAGTAACAATATTTTTACGTAACTTTACTATGAACTGACATATAAGGATTGATACTTAGTGGAAAAATAGAAACAGTGGATAAACCATGCTTTATTTTAGGTTGAACTCCCACCTCCTGATCTTGGACCGAGTTCTGCACTGAATCAGACACTTATGTTGCTGCGTGAAGTTTTGGCATCTCATGATTCCTCAGTTGTACCATTAGATGCTCGACAGGCTGATTTTGTGCAGGTAGGTTATAAATTTATTTTTAGTAACTGTTTTTTGTCCTTCTGTTGTATATTCTGTTTGAATTCCAGCATTTTTTTTAACCCTTGTATTTTGTCAATCCCTTTCTTATTGTTTTCCTTCAAATATTAAACCATTTTTCTTAATTTAAAAAAAATATTGATTCAGCTGGGCACTATGGCTCACGCTTGTAATGCCTACACTGTGGGAGGCTGAGGTGGGAGGATTGCTTCGAGGCTTGTCTGAGCGAGACTGAGACCCTGACTCTTAAAAAAGTGGAAAAACCCAGCCACATGTCATGGCGAGCACCTGTAATCCCAGCGGGTTCAGAGGCTAAGGCAGCAGGATGCCCACTGTCTAACTCTGAGGTTGCAGTGAGCTACAGTGCTATTGCACTCTGCTCAGGGCATAGGGTAGAACTCTTATGTGGACAAAAAAAAAAAAGTATTGATTCAGTAATGTCCACTTCCTTTTTTTTTTTTTTTTGAGATAGAGTCTCACTTTGTTGCTTTTGGTAGAGTGCCTTGGCGTCATTACTCACAGCAACCTCAAACTCTTGGGTCACGCGATTCTCTTGCCTCAGCCTCCCAGGTAGCTGGGACGACAGGCGCCCACCACAACTCTCAGCTATTTTTTAGAGACAGGGTTTTGTTTTTGCTCAGGCTGGTTTCGAACTCCTGAGCTCAGGCAATCCATCTGCCTCAGCCTCCCAAAGTGCTGGGATTACAGGTGTGAGCCACTGCGCCTGGTACCCTGATGTCCACTTCTTAAACTGTATGATTATTATATCGTTTAATCTTTTGATTATGTACTTCTGTAAGTTGGCTCCCTTCCAGTTAGTTTGGCATTAATTCTGAAGTGTCATTAACCCAGAAATAAATTATTCATTTTATTTTTCATTTATAGGTTTTGTCATGTGTCTTGGATCCTCTTCTCCAGATGTGTACTGTATCAGCCAGCAATTTAGGCACAGCTGACATGGCCACATTCATGGTCAATTCCCTATATATGATGAAGACAACGCTAGCTCTATTTGAGTTCACTGACAAGCGTCTGGAAATGCTACAATTTCAGGTAAATTTTTCAATATTTTTTTTTAAATTAAGAAAAATGGTTTAATATTTGAAGGAAAACAAAATGATTATTCAGTGTGGTGGAATCTTAACACATACAGCTTTAAGTTCTGGCTTGATAAATTTTTTTTTTTTTGAGACAGAGCCTCAAGCTATCCTCCTGGGTAGAGTGCTGTGGCATCACAGCTCACAGCAACCTCCAACTCCTGGGCTCAAGCGAGTCTCCTGCCTCAGCCTCCCAAGTAGCTGGGACCACAGGCGCCCGCCACAATGCCCAGCTATTTTTTGGTTGCAGCCGTCATTGTTGTTTGGTGGGCCTGGGCTGGATTCGAACCCACCACCTTAGGTGCATGTGGCTGGCGCCTTTGCCACTTGAACCACAGGCACCGAGCCTGGCTTGATTAATTTTAATGGCTTAATTTGTATAAATCCCTTGATACAGTCTGATGGGAGGACACACACATTCACTATTTTAATTTCCCGCTTTGAAGAAACCAAAATTTCAGATCACGATATGTGATGGTTCAGTGAAGCTTTTCTGATTAATATGAAGTTATTCTGTATGAAGATTTTCATTTCTGAACTGTGAATAATATACTATAATTTTTAAACTTTGTAGCTCGCCCAGAATGTCTTATAGAGGACAGATATATTTTTAGCTGGGTAAACCAGTGTTAGGCAATTTGTTATACCAGTCACTCTAGCCCTATAAACCAAATGATATCACTGAAGAGTGTATATCAGAAAAGAGTGTATATGATGGCTACAACAAAGATATTTGTAAAATTTACCAGATACTTGGGTTCCAATTTTAAATAGTGATTTTTTTTTTGAATAGTGTAATGTTTTTTCTTTTTTTGTTTTTTGCAGTTTTTAGCCAGGGCTGGATTTGAACCCGCCACCTCCAGCATATGGGGCCAATGCCCTACTCCTTTGAGCCACAGGCACTGCCCCAGACTTTGTCTCTACTAAAAATAGAAAAAAAAAAATGAGGCAGGAGGACTGCTTGAGCCCGAGTTGCAGGTTGCTATGAGATATGATGCCACGGCACTCTACACAGGGGGACAGCTTGGGACTCTGTCTCAAAAAAAAAAAAAAAAAAAACAAGAAAAAAACCCTCTAAGGCTCAACTCCTGTTGCTCAGTGGTTATGGCCCCAGGTACATACACTGGAGCTGGTGGGTTCGAATCCAGCCCAGGCTTGCTAAACAACAATGACAACTACAACAAAAAAATAGTTGGGTGTTGTGGTAGGCGCCTGTAGTCCCGGCTACTTGGGAGGCTGAGGCAAGAGAATCGCTTAAGCCCAAGAGTTTGAGGTTGCTGCAAGCTATGATGCCACAGCATTCTACCGAGGCCATGACAGAGTGAGGCCGTGTCTCAAGAACAAATAAACAAACCTCTGAGTGTTCTGTGCTATCACAAGTATATAAGCAATTTGACAGTAGGGATAGTAAAACCTCACTTGTTAAGTTTTGGCTTTTTCTGAGGAATGAGTTTTAGTATATGAAAATTTACGGTATTTTATAGTTTCTCTTTTTTTTTTAACATATGTGTTTATTAGGTTTCTACTTTTTGCATTCACAAAATTAAGAAGGCTCAAAATTGAATAACAATAACAGTGTTTAAGATAAGGTCTAGATCTAATTCTTTTTTAAAAAAAGAAATATGTCAGAATTATCCACATTCATGATTTAAAGTCACATAGTTCCACAGAATTTGTTATGAAGCCCCACGATACACCATTCTCTCCACCCCAGCATTTCTCTCTTATTTCTTAGGTCTTATGTATTGAATTTGCACTCTGGATGATAGAAATTTATTTCTACACACACACAGAGGAAAATGGCCATACTTAGAGCTTTCCAACTTCTCTGTGTAGTTTGATTATAATTTTTGGTTAGATCAAAATTGTGTTAAATAATTATAACAGTGTAAATGCTATTGAACCATGTAATGAAAAATAATTAATTTTCTTTTCTTGGATCACTTTGGTTTTCTCTGGAATTAACATCATTTTCCTTAAAAAATCTTATTTTTTTCCTGTATTTGTCATTAATTCAAGCCCAAATCTCAGCTATTTACCTGAATCTTTTGATAAGATGCTTAGATATATTGGCTGATTAATTTCTGTTATTATCAATTATCTACTCTTCTTAAATGATTTATAGTTATTTTATGCGTGATACAAACTTCTTTGTGTGTTAAATTGAGTTTATTAATTTATTAAAGTTCTCTATATCCTTGCTTAATTTTTATCCCCATTGGATGTGTCAGCTGGACTTCTCCTGTGTATTTCAACATTTTCTCCAGAAATCTCCTCAGCCAGATTTTTATTACTCTTGGTGGCATTTCCATAAATATTCTATTAGTAGATAATTCAGGTTCCCTTTTCACCACCTTTCACTATCAGTTTTCTTGCTACGCTTCCAAACCTCACTGTCAGACTGTGGGCATTCCAAGAAGACAAGCCCCAGTGCAGCCTGTACTTGCATTGTGTTTGTTCATGTGTTCATGGTCAAGGCTAGTTATGTGGAGCAGCCCAGATCAGTGTGAGAGTGGATGAGACAAGGCTATGGCTACTAGAAGGAATGTGTCATTGTGGTCTTCCCAAGTAATGATTTACCTTTTTGGGTAAAAGATTCTTTTTTTTTTTTGAGACAGAGCCTCAAGCTGTCCCCCTGGGTAGAGTCCCGTGGCTTTACAGCTCACAGCAACCTCCAACTCCTGGGCTCAAGCGAGTCTCCTGCCTCTGCCTCCCAAGTAGCTGGGACCACAGGCGCCCGCCACAACGCCCGGCTATTTTTTGGTTGCAGCCGTCATTGTTGTTTGGCGGGTCTGGCCTGGATTTGAACCCGCCACCTTAGGTGTATGTGGCTGGCGCCTTAGCCGCTTGAGCCACAGTAGCCGAGCCGGGTAAAAGATTCTTGACCTTTTTTTTTTTTTTTTTTAATCAGTAGTCTATTAGTTCTCTTCCCACTCTTATTTAGCTTCTAGTATTTAAAAAGTACAAGTTAGTCTGATTCTCTTCCTCTCTGTTTTTTTTTTGTTTTTTTTTTTTCAATCTATCTAGAAACTTACAGGGATTTTTCTTTGAATTCAGATATTTCCCCAGGGTATTTTCAGAATGTGTCTCTTTCCATTATTTCCATCATGGACTGTGGAGAGCCATTACAATTTGAAGATTCAAACTTTTCTTTTGCTCAATAAAGTTTTCTATTTTTTTAATCATCACTTCTCCATGTATTATTTTTTATACTCTGAGGCTCCTGTCTTTGGTTGGTTTTATCTCATGGATCTGTCCTCTAATTTCTTTTAAATCTCTTTAATATATTTGCTTGATATCTCTTGTATGTTACTTTTCTTCCAGACCACTAATTTGGTTTTTAGCAGTAACTCTTCTCTTTTTCACTTCACTAAGTGTTAACATTTATTTGTTTTTCTTTGATTTCAGGAAGTCTGGTAAGTAAGGGCTTCTATTGTACTTCCTTGGACGTTTTCTTTAAATAAAAGTATTTTGTGTCTTTCAATGGTGTTGTCTTAGGAAAAGATATTTACTCTGATTATTCAGATGGGCTTCCTTTTAGCTTACCACTTAAGTCAGTTACAAACTTTTTAGGGGCAAGAGACTTTGGAGTTCTTTGGACAATGGCAGACATTCAGATGATAACAGTTGTCAATGCACTTTACCTTGGGCACAGAAGCTGGGAAAACTGGGGAAACTTCCTAGTGAGGAATAGAAGGAAGACCTCCAGACTACCAGGATTGTACTGGCAAAAATAAGGGAGGAGCAGGCTTTTTCCCAAGAGGGAATGCATGAATCTAACCCATCACGCTAATCCCTTCCTGTGGCTTTTGCCTCCATCAGCACTGTGGTTTCTCCTCTAATTGCACAAAGCTGGGGAGCACATCCCATTCAGATCTGTTAAACAGATCTTCTGAGGCAGTTCCTGAACCTGAAATCTTTAACCAGAGTTCTACTGGACCCTCAGTTCTACCTCATTTGTCAGAGACCTGCTTTATTTTCAGGAGAATTGTTGCCTTAGCCTCAGTGGGATTTCCTCCAGGCTTCTTCAGATTTGATTTGTTAACTCAGTCCAGCAAGTTGGGAGGGTGAGTAGGTCAGGAGGTTAGGAACATCAGGCCCTCATCCTCCCAGAATTCTTTTTAAGTATTTTACTTTATACTATTTTTGTTATCGGATTTATGTGTGTGTGTGCGTGCATGCTTTGCTTTTTACTAGCTTTAAGAGAGCTGAGAAGGAGCCCAAATGTTGTTTGGAATCCCCTTTGGTTTTCATTTTAAATAAGACTTTTTCTCCCTTTTGGAGGAAGACTTTGTCTCTGGGGGAAAAGAAAGCCTGTGCCTTGTTATCTGTACCCCTCCAAGGAACAAATTCATGATGAAGAGCTACGCAGGGTAGTCTACTTTTACCCTCATCACTGTTACTCCTTTTTAAAAATGTTTTCTATTGTGTTTTATTTTAGATTGAAGCACATTTGGACACCCTTATAAATGAGCAGGCATCTTATGTTTTAACTAGGATAGGCTTGAGTTATATCTATAACACTGTACAGCAACATAAACCCGAACAGGTAAGCACATAGATGTTCCTAATTCTAAAATATGCCAATTCAGAGTATGACTTCTAGAGCTGGACTCTGGATTGAAATCTTGACTCTACCAATTATTAGCTTTGTTTTCCTGAGAAAGTGACTTATTTGTCTGTGTCTTGTTTCTGCATCTGTAGCTGTGTCAGAGGTTGTTCTGAAGATGAAGTGAGACATTATAGTTCTTAGATGACTGCCTGAGATACAGTAGAGTGCCAAAATATTAACTATGCTCTTTGCTACAAGTAGTAATGAAAATATACAAAAACTAGTATTATAATATGTATAAAGGATATTTATACTAGTGATTTTTTCAGAGGCCTGTATTTGTTGAATTCACAGATTACAATATTAATTGAAGTCATCCTATTTAATTTAGCAAATTATGGCCCATTTCTTTGGAAAGTTAATCTCTCCTGGGGGCAGGATATGATCTTGTTAAATTATACAACCCTAGTATAAGTAGATAAAGGAGTGGTAGAAAATCATGTAAGACATCTTTCTGTAAGAAGCAAAAAACTCTTTGAAATGACACTAATAGGAATATATATTAAAGCACCAGGCTTTCACGAACCACAACTTGCCAATTTTATCGTTGCTAAAATGTAACCAAATTTCTACTAGTAGAAACCAATTCTACTACCTTTTCATACTTCCCGAAATTATCAAAGTGAATCTCTTTGTGCTTCCATGTCTCTGCATCTTCTGAGTACTTCATTACCCTCTTTTTCTGGATATGAATAAATCTGAAGCATCTGATATTTCCATGGCTAATAAATATATGTGCTTCTTTATCCTTCCAATAAATCATAGTTTTCCTAATCTTACTAAGGTTGAAGAGTTGACACTTGAGTTTTTTGGAAATAAGCTAAATGATTTTTCATATTTGGGCAGTTCACTAATGGACTGTATTCCATAAGGGAAATGAAATGTCTTGTTTCCTCTTTTACATCTTTTTTTTTTTAAACAGGGTGCTTTAGCTAATATGCCCAACCTAGATTCTGTGACACTGAAGGCTACAATGGTAAGTGCATAATAAAGCATTTGGATTTAGATTTCTGTATGGAACACCGGTCTTCATTTCTTGCTATGTGGAAATTTTGCCCCGGGTGATAATTTCTATCTCTTGATATGCTGTAGTCACATTGGGTCCAATGATGATTGAGCATGTGTTCCTTTAATAGAGCAAGTTCTGACCAGGATTTACATTTACAGCAGTATTCCATCATACCGGGACATCCTCTTCATTATTATATAGGACTTCTTCCTTTTCAGAGTTTGTTCCCAACTTACTAGAGAAATAGGAATGGCAGACATGAAGAGGTTAGGCTATGTATATATTATAGACTTGCTACTACCACAGTCTTTGGTTCACAGTACTTCTTTCTGAATTGATAGCTGAAATTGGATTCCAGTCCTACAACGGTATATTACTCTTGAGTGTGAGACTCACTGAAGTTCTGCCGTGTTACCTTCTTTATAAGCAACAAGCTTGTACTTTCCGTTCTGCATGAGTACTGCTTTTGGAGCATGGTTTTGTGTTTTAAGTGTATTCTGTGCACATAGGTATGCTCATTTATTGTATGATATTTAAGTCATGTAACTCTGTACCTCATAGGAGTGACCCTTGGGAAGCTTTATAATAGTAGTACCAGTCGTAGTAACAAATAGCAGCCATTAACATTTACTGAGCATGACAAGTGTTTTTCACATATTAACTCTTCAATCCTCGTGGCAACTCCATTTAACTCAGGTAGTTGGTTCTCAGAGCCTATGGGCTGAACTACCATACTAACCATATTAACTACTGTGAGTTTACTCACATGCACTCACAATGGTTTGATTTTCATAAAGAGTTCTTTAGGATGGTTTTCTTGATTCAGGGCTTTCCTCTCCTCTTCCAGAACCAAGTTTAACTGAAAATAAAGGGATAGGCCCACAAGATTGCTAACAAGTACAAAGAAGGAGGCATAGCTGACTGTATTAATATTAGAAAAGGTGGAGTTTAAAAGCACTAAATAGGATGAATAAGGAGCATCATGCCAGGATAAAAGACATTACGTAGAAGTAAGGGTCATCACTTCTACATATCAAACAAAAACTATGACAGTAAAACCTGAAGAAATGCCAAGAAATTTAGACATTAAAAAGTAATGAAAATAAATTAAATGAATATATTGTAGATTCATTTAAAAAAGAAATAAGTTTCTGAGGACGATGTGTGTGTGTGTGTGTGTGTAGTGTGTGTATATGCATGTATTTACCATACTATACAGTAATTCTCCTTCAGGGTTTTTACGCTCTCCCCCCAAAAATGAAGAATTATGTTCACAAACAAATCAGTGACATTAGTTAATACTCAGTAAATGTGTTTATCTTTTACCTATTTATCCTTCTGTTATAATACATATCAGTCATAATTCACAAAATATTTTTAAACCCATCAAAAATTTTTATTGTCGCCAGTCTTAATTTTTAACACAATTAAATTGATATGTTATGTCTCTAAAGAAATAAAATCTCTGAGTCTCTAAAAATAAAATGAGTTTTGTATGTGGTCCATGGTTTGACCGACTTCTGTCACCTCCACTTGGAGGACTCTAAGGGCCCTTTGGCATATTCAGAACTGACTTGGTTGCCCCGGCCCTAACCACATCCTCTTCTAGGTATTCTTCACTCAGAAAGCAACAAGAACATTTATTTCTTCATGATTTCAACAATTGTTAACCAAGTTTCTGCTATTTTCTAAGCATCATGCTAAAACTGGGATGAAAATAGATACAGTCTAGTAAAGTATGCAGCTATTACCCAGGTAAATAAATGGATCAAGAATACAGTTATGCCATAAGTGGTTAAAAAGAAGAATGCAGTTACATATTATGATGACACAGTTAATTAGTTTATGTAGATCCAATCTGGGAGTCAGCCCCTTCGTCTTATCAGTAATCAAGTCCTGATGGTTTTGCAGTGACTTCCTCAAATACCTCCACTCTATCATTTTGCCTGCATTGTAGTCTAAAAGTGCTGCAGGAACTGCCTAATTGCTGTCCTTGCTTCTACTCTTGCAGTCTTCTTTTCTCTTTGTAATAACCAGATTTAGCTTCTTAAAAGTTACTTCAGCTTACCCCTCCAATTAAACTCTGGTGGTCTACTGGAGTTACTGACTTTACTTTTTGGTAATATTATCACTTAAAAGCTTGGTGAGTGAGACTGAAACAAATGGCGTGGATTTAGGATTTTAAAAGTATATTGCAAATACTAATAACTGTATTAAAAAGTTGGTAATTTTAGAGTTTTAGTTAGAATGTTTAAGAAATAATCATTTGAATACAACAATCTAGTTATTTGAAATACAGGATTTTTGTCTTAGGATTTTATCCCTAAAAGAGATAGTTATATGTGAGATGTTTGTTAGCAAAGACATGTAATTTATGTTTGCATTTCTGTTTCATTTAGGTTCAGTTTGATCGTTATCTGTCAGCCCCAGACAACATGTTAATGCCACAGCTGAACTTTCTTCTAAGTGCCACGGTCAAGTAAGTATTTTTGGTCTTAAGTAGTTGGTAAAGGTTCATGTATTTTTAAATATCAAGTATAGTTTCTGGAAAAAAATTATTTTGAAGAATAGATTTACCATCGAAGATCTAGAATTCTGAACCTTTTTTTCTGCATCAGCACCCCAAGGAATCTGACCTGACCTTGTCTGTACTTAATTCCTTACCTGTTATCATTCCAAAAATCTCTAACTAGTAAATAACTTTTAAAATTACTTGATTATAATTGGAGCTATATAGTCATAAGCCTTGTTCCTTTAGGATAACAAACATGTGAAAATGACTTTGAATATATTGCTGAAGATTCAGAATGTGTTCATTGTGTAACGCACATGAAATATTTTACAAATGATTTTGCACCTAAAATCAAATGGTTTTCTGTAGATAATATTATAAATAATCAAATTGTTCAATATTATTTACAGAAATGTGTTCAGCATAAAGAACCGTATGTTAAAATATCAGAACAGTATAATTAGAATAAACTGAGAGATCATACATGTATAATTTGATCTCCTTGATTTTAAGAAAAATATTGTCAAAATTGCCTACAAATAGGAAATTAGGCAACATTATTTACACATTTATTTTTTCTTCACGTTCAGCCAATAGTGTAGTAATTTGTTTTCAGTGTAAATGGCACTGGAGTTAAAGTTTAAAATATATCTGTCTTCATGGAGTTTATAGGTCAATTTAATGTGTGAACAAATATTTATATTAAAACATACAGGCCAATTGCAGTGGCTCACACCTGAAATCCTAGCACTCTAGGAGGCCAGAGGTGAGTGAGCTTGAGCTCAGGCATTCGAGATCAGCCTGAGCAAGAACTAGACCCTGTCTCTACTAAAAATAAGAAAAAAAACCTCCCACAAGTAAACCCCAACTAACTGGGCGTTGTGGCAGGCATCTGTAGTCCCAGCTGCTTGGGAGGGTTAAAGCAAGAGGTTGCTTGAGCCCAAGAGTTTGAGGTTGCTGTTGAGCTATGATGCCATGGCCTCATAGGTACCAGGGCAACATGGAGACTCTGTCTCAAAAAAAAAAAAAAAAAATACAGTGAGAAAGGAACTGTTGAACTTGAGGAAAATACTTAACAGATCTAAAAGGATGGAGTATTACAGAGGTGATACAGTTATTTTCTGTTTGTCTGGAATGTAGAACTATAACAAAAAATAGAGCAAGGAAGAAATTGATATTAGTTAGAATTGTCTGGAAATAGGATAGACCTTCCTCCCCCGCCACACATGCACAGAGTCAGGAACTTCCTATCTTAGGTGAGTAGTTAGTGTAAATGAATTTAACGTAATTTACAACTTTTATATTTATTATCCTAAAAGATAGCATGCTATCTATAGAATCTGAATTCTAAAGACCTGAGAGATCATAAAAGAAACTATCATACCATGGCTCAAACTGTGTGTGCTTCTTAAATTATTAAGTTTTAACTCAAATACCTATGATTTTTTTGATGTAACCATGCTTCAGTATTTAATACTTGAATGTGACAGTGTTTGTATATATGAAACATACTATTATTCTTTTCGTAATAAAATGAGGAGAAATGTTAATGTATTTTAAAGGATGGAGTGTAGTACAGATGCTGAAAGAAAAAAAATTGGACAAGTAGGGCTCTGTAACCTTTTAAAGATTTATAGAGAGAGAATATTTAAACTAAGTTAAAATATAACCAATAATATGGAAAAATATCTATAGTATATATAACAGATTATCCTTAATATCTAGTAAGATCCTACAAATTCAAAACACTAGTAAAAATGGTCACAGAAGAAATACAAATGGCAAAAGAAAGAGAAAATAATAATTAAAACAGTTCAAAGTGGAACAATAAAAATTTTCATCAGACTGCTGACAATAAAAATTTTGAACAAGTCTGGGAAATGGACGTTTTCATACTTTTTAGATGAGAATATAAGTCACCACAACCTTTTAAAAGAGAATTTTGGCAATATTCATCAAAATTTTGAAAGCATAAGTTCTTAGCCTCTCCTAGATATTTTTTCCCTTTTCTTAGTCTTGGTAAAAGTTTAAGAAAACTGTTGAACTATATCATTGTATTCTTTGTCTCTGAAGACTTCTCAGATTTTCTAAAACTTCAATCATATTTGAAATTAAATACTGGCTTTCTATTATTAAAGGGAATATTTTAGCTTTTCATTTACTTTTATTATCCTATTGTCCTATAGTAACTATAATTTTTTTATATTATTAACAAAGACAAATGAACATTTTTTTTGTACATTATTTTAAAATCTAATTTTTTTAAATTTTTGCTTATTTTATTGTATGTGCCTAAATTTAATTCTGTAAGTTCTTACTAATTATGATATTTAAAAATTGAGATATCCATATTGTTTATATAAATATTAATAACACAACTAAGAATTGGTTAGTGACTATTAAACCACTTCTTTTTCATTCTGAAAATTATTTTTGGGGGGCAGCGCCTATGGCTCAGTGAGTAGGGTGCCAGCCCCATATACCAAAGGTGGTGGGTTCGGACCCAGACCCAGCCAAACTGCAACAAAAAATAGCCAGGCATTGTGGTGGGCACCTATAGTCCCAGCTGCTTGGGAGACTGAGGCAAGAGAATCACCTAAGCCCAAGAGCTGGAGATTGCTGTGAGCTGTGACACCATGGCACTCTACTAAGGGTGACAAACTCTGTCTCTTAAAAAAAAAAAATTATTTTTATGTATGTATTTATTTTTTGAGACAGTGTCTTACTCTTTTGCCCTGGGTAGAGTGCTATGGTGTCATCATAGCTCACAGGAACTGCAGACTGTTGGACTTGAGCAATCCTCTTACCTCAGCCTCCCACATAGCTTGATACTACAGGCATATGCTATTACACCCCGCTAGTTTTTCTGTTTTTTTAGTAGAGACAGGATCTCACTCTTGATCAGGCTATTGTCGAATTCCTGAGCTCAAGCAAGCCACCTGCTTTAGCCTCCCAGAGTGCTAGGATTCTTTTCAAGTGCACATAAAACATTCACTAGGCTAACGTAAGAATGAGCAAAAAAGGAAATAAATCCTAAGAACTAGAAAATTCAAAGGAAGTTTGCTTTTACAAATTCCAACTTACATCAGTTTCTACAATGAAAATGAATAACTTGTTACCCTATTTTAATATAGAAGAGTCTCGTTTTAGGTTTTAGAAAGCATAGTTCACCTATATCCTTTTTACAAGAAACTATTTAAAACAAAATTACACAAAAATAAGCAAGAATTGCAATATTAATAGGCAAAATTGAATTCAAGGTGAAAATTATTTAAAAAGTCAAAAGTCTCCTTCCTGGTAAGACAGTGGGAAAATTGCCTGGGTGCACAGGGTTCTCAAATCCACAAGCAGGCAGGCAGGTCGTCTGTGCCCATAGGACTCCAGCCTAAGCCATGGCACATTCCTGGCTCCTCTCAGCCCTTGGCTGCTGGGCCGTCTGCACCAACTTTTCAAGCACCCAAAAGGAATTCTCCTGTTTGCTAAGATTATATTGTGCATGGTGATTCTAATCTGCTTCAGTGCCTCAACACCAGGTACTCCTCCCAGTGGGTGGTTGAAACTACCCTTGCTGCTCATTGTCTTTGTCATCTATGTGTGTGAGCACAGGACCGAGATGCCAATCATCAAATGGCCCCAGAGTGATTTCCTCTGGACTCTCATTGAGGCGATTCTCTACCTGACACCTCCGCTGTTGTCCTTGTTGACACAGGAAACCACTCTAAAACCGACTTAGTAAAGTATCTCAAGAATGGAAGAAAAAATAATGTACTCAGTACTATTATGAAACCAATTTACAATCACTCACACTTTCATATGAAGAATAGATCACAACTATGGCCCAGGATGAAGGAGGAAGTGGGGGTTGGGAGGGGAGGTCAGATCGAGGGAGGGTAAATGGTAGGATCGCACCTATGGTGGATAATGCAAGCGTACATGTTGGATCTATTAAGAATAGAGTACAAGGCGGCACCTGTGGCTCAAGGAGTAGGGTGCCGGCCCACCCCATATACTGGAGGTGGTGGATTCAAACCCAGCCCTGCCCCCCCCAAAAAATAGAGTATAAATGTTTTAACACAATAATTAAGTAAATGAGATGAGGTGTATATTAACCACTGTGATGTAAATGCTCTTAATTCTATATGAAATTAACATATTGTACCCCATACATGCATTCATGTATACATGATCTGTGTGCTTAAGATTTAATAAAAAAGATGAAAAAAAATAAAAGCAGCTGGAAAAAATAATAATAAAAACCATGGCAGGGGTGCTGGGCCTAATCACTCCAAGCCTTTTTGGGTCTGATGCCTACGTCACCTTCCCCCTTCAGCAGCAGAGACACACAGCTGCCCCCACCGACCCTGCAAATGGCCCAGTGTTGGGGAACTCCTCTCATTCCTCCCTGCAACCTGCAAATAAGTCCTCCATTTAAATAATTCCACCCCTATAACACTCCCAGCCTACCGATTCCCAGCCTCCTGTTGAGTCTAATGTGCCTTTACTGGAAGAATTTTGTCTTTCGGCTTGCCGGTCCGGCCACCTTCATGGGCGTGCATAGGTCTTTCCTTCTCCAGTGGAGACCCCAGTTCTGCCCAAACCAGACCCCACCTAAGCTGCAAGATGTGTGAAGAAGGCACCTGAGACTGCAGATTCCAGGCCCTGGTTGTGACCCACTCTATGTGATCTTGCTGTAGGGGATGGTTCTGTGAAGGGATAAATAGATTATTAAAATAAAAAGTCAGGACTCCATGCCTGTAGTTTGGCGGCTGGGGTGACAGCCACATAAACTGGAGCTGGCGGGTTTGAACCCAGCCTGGGCCTGCCAAACAACAATGACAACTACAACCAAAAAGTAGCCAGGCATTATAGGGGGTGCCTGTAGTGCCAGGTGCTTGGGAGGCTAAGGCAAGAGAATTGCTTAAGCCCAAGAGTTGGAGGTTGCTGTGAGCCGTCATGCCATGGCACTG